GATCGAACAACCGTAGGACCTAACACATCCCTGCGTTCGCAGAGCTTTTAGCTGGAGTTCAGTGAGTGTTCAAAAAAAAAAAAAAAAAAAAAAAAAACGGGACAAAAAAAAAAAAAAAAAAAAAAAAAAAGACGGGACCTAACACATCCATCATACCACACACCTGCCCCAGCCAGTTGGAGGCTGGAAATTCCATACGGCTGGAAATTCCATACGGAGAAAAAAAAAAAAAAAAGAAAAAAAAAAGTGTTTCTTGACCAGGAAACAGACCAGAGAGGAGAAAGGACAAAAGAGAACCACCAAGGGGGAGGAAATCCCATATCCTCCGTCCTGTCATGCGCGTAGTTTAATTGACATGCCATCTACTTTTATCGCTAAGAGGAAAAAGGAGAGGCAAAGAACCAAAGGAAGGAGGGGGGGGGGAAAGAGGAGGGAAGAGGGAAGAGTTAAATTGACCTCTCATCTACTCCATCACATCTTGCAAATCAGAAAGTCTACAGCTCCTAAAGAAGCAAAGGAACTCAACCAAACATAGGAAGCGAATACGGCATGGAAAAGCTAATAATAGGAAAGGAGGAGGATTACCACAAGAATTGGTGGGGTTTGGATTCGGACACAGGTGTGCTGCGCTGACATCCTCACCACCAACTTACTTCTTCATCCGTCGTTGTCCTCTTCAGGAAACAAGAAGGAGAACTGAAACAGAAAGACAAAACAAAGTCGTCAAAAAAAACAAAACCTCTCCCCATCCCTAGGACCTAAAATTTGCACTGGCTTTTGAAGCAGATCTCAGCAATGCATTTTCTTAACCATACCCGCAGAGACCCCTCCAGGGAAGAAATGCATTAAATGTGCAACCAGCCAGTGCCTTCTCTTCTTCAATAACATCATCTGCACTTTTCTTTTCCATGCGCACATTCAAAACAACTACAAACTGTCAGCAGAAGTGCCAGCAGCAAATTGCCGGCTTTTGATCCCCCCCCCCCTCTCTACAAAGCTCTCCAACCCACCTCCAAACTCTCTCACAATCATGCCCACTCATGCCATAAAGAAACTCTCTCTCTCTCTCTCTGGGCCATAAAGAAA